TTTCAATTGTCCCAAATAATTATACAAAGTGACCTAACTATATCGATCATATTTTCATCCACCTTCGACCTGAACGGGATAACGCCTTAATAACAACCCAGTACGTGAGAGTTTGAATATTATGAGTTTGTTATGCAGACATGGATGGCTAATTGTTCCGGGAATAACCCCAGGTTGAAATGCAGAACTGCGCAGCCCAATCCGTGTGTTTACTCATCACTATAAGATATCAACGCCGCTGTTCAAACACGCTAGTTCAATACACTACACAGAGAACGTCTACCTATGTCAGGCATAGTACATTCAACCATAATACATTCAACCAATGATAATATATCGTCATATTGTGCATGTAAGCATTGTTCTTTTATACCATATTTTGTTTACAAAGGGTGGCCATGGCAACAGCGTCTGTACTATATATGTCAGTTTGGTACACTAATATTTTATAAATGGAAGTTTAAATTAGTAACTCAGATTGTTAGGGGCTGTATCCTCAAGGGGGGTTAAAGTACTGTAACATTATTGTCCTCCTGAGAGGGTACGTTAGTCCCAAAACTTTCAAAGTACATTTAAACTTACCAACTTTTTTAAAACGTAGTATTTTTGTGAATTTAATTTTGGCTAATTGTTTCTACAATCAACAGCTGCTGAATGGATGATGTAAATTCTATTAGGTTGTTGGCGATCTTTAGCCTGTTTTTATATTGTATTGTCCAAATAGTGCTATCAGTTTTAACTTTCCACACTAGCTTTAGTTGTAATTGTGATATTTTAGTTGTTGTACTGTCCTTCGTTGACAAGTTTTTATAATATACATATATTCTATTTCAATGTCAAAAATGTTCTCGTCACGATATGGCTGAAATATTGCCGATGTGACGTTAAATATTAACTCATTCACTCACTAAACTAAACAAAGCGTATCCAAAATCGCGTTTGTGACGGAAACGAAAAATTGATGTACAACAAAAGGTGTTAATGGCAGTGAAAGCATCAAACAACATCTCATTCATTTGTAAACATATATGAACTGTCTATATACGGAACTTGGCATGGATTGGTTAGTTTTCATTGGCGACACAATTCCAGTCCTTTTTGGAAGAAAGTAAGCGACAATGATTAAATAGTTCTAACTTTTCGTTTTTATCACGATTTTGAGTAAATCTATTCCATCTAAGTGCCGTATATCTTTAGAATCCACTTAAAAGTATACGTTTATGGTCCCGAAAATGTGTCACCGATGACTTAGCAAAACAGATCGTTTAGAATCATTTACGATGATTGGTCAGTCATGTCATTCTGGTATTATTTACTGTGATGTACATACCTACGTACAAAAATGTAGTCGAAGGTACGCATTTACGAACTTCTTTGGCCAATTATGATCTGTTAGGTCGATCTGTTTACTTAAATATTAAGGTGATGAAGAGAACGAAAATGGTATTGCTTTCTCTTAGATTTAGAAAAGTGTTAAACAACAGATTACATATAATGAAAGCCACTTGCTCTTTTGGGGAGGCAGTGATGTGATTTTCAGATTTCATAATGTGTATGCTGGAGTCGAATCCCTTTGTCACCAGTATATATATCTTCTGTTTGTTAGTGTGAATGTAATGCCACACACACTGGTCGTGAGATCCAGCGGTAGTTGTCTTTTGCTGCAAACTAGGTGCTTGCAATATCACACTTGCGAGGATATGTTTCATGAACGTAAGTGTGACACCATTTTATATACCATGTAGAACAATGGAATGAATAATCAACTTATTGTTTTCCTTTTCAACACATCTGGCCTTTTAAGGAATGTGTCAGTCCCTCACCTGCCTGTCAATAGGATTGTCTTCCCTGCTACATGGATTGACTTAAAGAGGCAGTGTACACGAAAAACAAATCACGTTTTTCATACGTGTAACAAAATGGAATTGTGTAATTAGTTAATATCAGTGTTTGAAAATATACGTTCCTTTTTCTTACAATGAAAGTGTAACCCCGCTGAATATGGCTGCAATATTGCCGATGTGACGTTAAGTTTTAACTCACTCACTATAAGTGCTGAAATGTTATGAAGCCTTTGTCTGCCGAACTAAATAGGCCAGATTTACCGCCCTTTGAATAAGACGTAATTGGTGACATTTGATTTAGACTGGTGTCCTGTCTAGTACCAAAGAAAAAAAAGATATAATTCCTTGCTTTAATCACGTGAAAAAAATATGTAAAATACGAAAGAAACATCAGAACAGAAGCAGTTAGCAGCAAAATAGAAAAGATCTTGTGCATTTGCATTCGTAACCTCAACTCAATGAAAATACCAAATATGTATATACAATGTTGATGTACGTATGACATCACTATCGGGAAGAGACTTTCTCCAAATGGGGAGTTCACGACACGGGTACGCAGGATATTTGGAAGGAAACTTTCGTTGTTTCAAGCAAGTTTGAACGTATATGCATAAATGTGACATGTAAGTAGTCCGAAACTGTCTAATATTGGTTGTTATTTTCTTCTTGTTTTCACTATGAACAAGGGCAGTAGTCAGAAATGAGGAAAAGTACCGTCATCGTTGTGCGCGAGTTTGCGTCGGTCATGGCGTCACGCTTACGGAAACTATAATATATTGTATTGATGTATGAAATAATTGGAATGCACCTATCTTTAGCTACGATAGGCTTCCAATGCATGTAAGCTTACACATGCAAGTGTATGTAACTGATATGAGAAATGATACACAACTGATATATTTGTCTAGATTACCCTGGGACACTTAGTATTGGTGACAAAGACCATTTGTCATGTTATTTTGAACTGAGTAATTCCGGTATTCGTGTGAAAGAACTAGTTTTGAATTATAGGATGATGTTATAGCAGTGTATGAAATAAGGCCCGTCATACCGCCCGAGACGGGCTGGATTTTAATTTACGGCTAGCCAGATTGTCTGGTAAAAATTTAAGATAAAATGTTCCATAAATCTTCTTCAGATTGTCTGGTCTGGTTTAAATCCATTTTGGGCTCATAACATTTTGAAGTTAGCAGCCCTAATGTGTTGCGGGTTTTGTGGCTGATTTCATACACTGATTATGGGCGAAACATAAGGTACATACGTGTGACATGATTTTGCAAATATTCTGCAATATGGCCTAAAATTTACTTCGACGTTCGTGTTTGCGTATTTTCCAAAACATGATTATGGGCGAAACATAAGGTACATACGTGTGACATGATTTTGCAAAGATTCTGCAAAATGGCCTAAAATTTACTTCGACGTTCGTGTTTGCGTATTTTCCAAAACATTGTCAGTGATTCTCGGTTCATCGACGATGTTTCAGAATAACCATGTGATTTGATCACGCAGCAACAAAAGACAACATTTAATTTAACACATACCGGGTACACTAATTTACGCAAACCGCAATGAATAGTGATTCAGTAATGTGTCAAAACGGCTACATCTACAATGTATGTGATTTCCAGTAATTTTGCCTTACAATGAACTAGAAGAATTTCAAACTAAATTCAAAACTGCGAATTGCGAATTTATCTTTGAGATGTATTTGGACATCAAAGTGAAGATTGTACAGGAGGGACATATATTGTACGATTTTTTATGTAGGAATTAATCACCAAACTTGGAATGCCGACACATTCACCGATGGCTATCTAGATGTATACAATCATATGTATAATGCACACCCGTTATATTTTGGGGGTGAAAGAAAATACTGTTGGAAAGACGACCTGCTGAGGTTGAATATTAAACAATTTGTTTACGTGGTAACACTTTTTGTACAATATATGCTGTTTTTTCACATTGCAAAGTCATCACAGTGTGGAACAGACCACATAGCCAGCTGACGATCAGGACACAGGCGGATTAAAAGAATAGCCAGCGCATCGAAACACAAGAAGCACACCTACACCCGTGCCGCGTGAAATGGGTCTACTAAGGTCTAACGATGTCATTCGTTTATGAATAAGGGACATAAGCCATAGATCTCTCGGTCAATGTGGAAAATATTAATCGATGTAACGCAAAAATGAATTGGTAACTTCTGTTTGGCTATAAAACTACTTGACAAACACTGTTTATGATGAAAATGTGCAAGGCCAAAAAGGTTAATTTTCGTCTACATTTGCGCTTTAACACAAAGTTTAAAAACAAACTTTCAATGCATTATGACCACATATGAGTGAAACCGACCACACATGAGTGAAACGTATGTATGTGGACGTGTTCGGAAGTGGACGTATGTATGCATATAAGGATGGAGGAATGAATGGATAGAGAAAATACATATATAATATTATCTATTTACTGATTTATGATGGTATAATGCCTGAATCACTTTGCTGATATCAACAAGGACATGTATGGTGTTAACAAAATAGAAACAATCATCAAGGTTTATCTCATTGAGAAAATAAGTCCAAATTAAACATAACGTAGGATATAACAGCCTTTGATTTCTTTGTCAAATCTGTTGCTAGGCTTTTTCAATTGTCCCAAATAATTATACAAAGTGACCTAACTATATCGATCATATTTTCATCCACCTTCGACCTGAACAGGATAACGGCTTAATAACAACCCAGTACGTGAGAGTTTGAATATTATTGTTATGCAGACATGGATGGCATATTGTTCCGGGAATGACCCCAGGTTGAAATGCAGAACTGCGCAGCCCAATCCGTGTGTTTACTCATCACTATAAGATATCAACGCCGCTGTTCAAACACGCTAGTTCAATACACTACACAGAGAACGTCTCCCTATGTCAGGCATAATACATTCAACCAATGATAATATATCGTCATATTGTGCATGTAAACATTGTTCTTGTATAACCATATTTTGTTTACAAAGGGTGGCCATGGCAACAGCATGTGTACTATATATGTCAGTTTGGTACACTTGCATTTATCAATAATCACGCGAGAACAAATGCTTGACTTCCTCACTGATAACATTTTTTTCACTATATGAACATGGATGGTATTTGTCCTTATCTCTTGTCATGAATTAAGGATAGCTTTTCGATGGTTCCAAGGGTTTCGAGTTTAATAGGTTTTCCCCCATTTCATACCCCAGATATAAAGTGTGTCACAGTGTCAGGATAGGTCTCCTGGAGATTGCACAATGTCTATTCATTCGAAACCTTAATTACGCAAGACGCTTCTGGTCTTTCGCAATATCTGGGACGTACCATTCACCTGCCCGTCCTAACTCTGAACAACACAACACAGCCCTGCTAGCCTTCCGACCTACTTTTCGAGTGGGCTTATAAATAGAGTTGTATTCCGACTCACTATCGACCCTCCTTGTTGAGTGTAATCTGTGGCCAATAATCTATGTTTTCAGGTGTGTGGTTGAGGATGGATGTGTTTTTAAGCAGTGTGCTTCTGACAATTCTTTGTTTCTTCTGTGGAATACGAACAGCAGGTAGGTGTCAGTGTTAGAATGCTTACAGTACCTGTATTTGCATGTTTTGAGATGAGATTGTTACGAGACGTTATTCAACCAACATGCTTGCTACAAAGAAACGCTTGATATTCCTCAACGATGTAATCCGGAAAGATAAACAAGGACACGAATGGTTCTGTTGTCGAGGGTGAAGGAATACTTGCTGTGTAGACTTGCGTTGATTTACCCTGATCAGGTGAAATGAAAGTTTGAACGGTGAAATAAACATTCAGAGGATTCAGATATTCCCGGACGCATGTCAGCTAGAAGTGCGAGGCTGTCTCGTGCACTATACAGACTTGAAACATCATTAAACATCTACTGTGAAAGGCAGTCGAGCAGAACACGCTCACACGCAAACACCTGCCGCCATGACTGATGGCATCACTGTTTAATTGATAACAAATGCATACTGTGTTGTCAGATATTCTAGAAATGGACCAGGCGTCCACGTATCCAACGGAAATAAATGTCTCTTCACCTGTTCCTTATGCATCAGTTCGATACGAAAGTTTGAATGCGTCACTAAACGGAACTGATCAGGTTACGATTCTGTTTTCAAACCACCGACGCGTTTCTGCCCAGTGATTTACTATCTCCGACGTTTTCCATGGTTAGGCGAAGCCAAATACAACAGCCACGTAACATTTATAAATGACCTGTCAACAACCAACACGGCTATTTAGAAGACATGGTTACTGTCAACAACATCATGTTTAGTGGAGTATTGAAAATACCATTGGCCAATAGAACATATATATACATACGGGGTCTCCTCACTGTGCAGGCACCTTTTGTTGATAATTACTGAAGCACTCAGCCGTATTAAACAACCAAACAAAGGGATTATTGGGGGGCCGTGTCAGTAGTTTCTGTCTGGCAGAAAAATAGTGATATAAATGTTTTCATCAAACAGGCAATAGTGATACAAAGTTTAGTGATAAGAAAGTTGTTCAAAAATGTTATTCTTCAATACAGTATCATACTTCACAAACAGGCAATAGTGATAGCTAAATAGAACTTTAATTTTTCAACACAGTAACACACGCAACAGTGGCACAGAATTGAATCAAACTTTTACTTTTAACACAGTAAACACTGAGTAACATACTCATTGTAATAAAAGGTCAACAATGGAAGATATAAGCACTGGATTGGGAATCACTGCATGGACAACCATTCATGATAGCACTGAATTACAATTAAACTAAATGTGATTGATGTTTTTTATCCAGTCAAATGTTACACAAAACACATTTCACGAGTTACAGTATACATTTTCCAGATTCAAACATTTCTTTTTAAATTTATGGTGGAAGCCTGTATTCTGCTGTTTTCTTTTCTTTTCGTTTTTATCTCGCGTTACATACACAACATATGTAATTTTTTTATAAAGATGGGAAAGAAAGGAGAGATAAGGAAAGAGAGATAAGGAAAGATGAAAGAGTGCAGAGTGCGGCCTAGAAAAACTCACTGTGTCAATTTGTTGGTTTAATCATTTTGAAAGAGACATAACCATTTTGTTTTGAAATCTGAGTGATGTTCACCGAGGATATATTTTCCCAAATGGTAGTGATGTTTTATAAAATAAATGTGATTGTTAACCTTTTATTACAACTGAGTATGTTACTTTGTTTAAAGTGTTTACTGTGTTAAAAGTAAAAGTTTGATTCAATTCTGTCTTGAAAATCTCGCTTGTATTCTTATCAGTATCCATATCCATGCAAATAAGCAAATGCTATAGATGTTAAACCTGTCATTTACGTTGAAGACCGTCTTGGTACAAGGCATGCAAAGGTCTAGTATCAGACTTGATTATAGGCTACGACAAGGTTACAACCACATTGTGTATTCGGAATGAACTCTAGATTTACTTGATCACTAGCCATGATGATGAATGGTAGTGACTAAGCTATTTCCTGAATAATATTTAGCTATGAACAAGATGAATTATATTCAGTGTTATTAATTTAACATGGTTAATTGGTGAATTGATATCAGTCTGACATCTATCAGCTTGGAATCTGTCCCTTGGCTATGAGTTAAGTTCAGCTAAATCATGAGACGACCCCTTTCCTTAAAACAACATCACTAATCCTAATCCTCTGCAGGCTGCCTGCAAGTGAGGATAAACCATACATACAATAGCAATGGGAACTACAGAAAAGAAAAACATATCTAAGATAGTAGCACATCTATATTGCAAGACACCGTATGACTGTTTGATTTGTGAGATGACATGGGGATATAAAATCTGTCGATCCGAAGGTTCAGATAAAGATATTTCCTTTTGTATTCTTCTCAGATTGGTATTTGTTTTGTGTCTCATAACAAGTACAACATCGACACAATCAGTTTACCATTTACATATCTAAATGTCTACATGTTGTATCGGAAGATCATGCGAACTGCATCTGAGACGGGACATTGCTATTAGGTATGTTATAACATATTTTGCTGTAAGATTGAATGAAACCAATCCTCCATTGAACTATTGTTCAGTAAATTACAATTAGATTTTCACCCTCTAAGAGTGGCCCAAAATGTTTAGAATCACGTAATGGTTTAAACATATTTATTTCCAAAAGAGGAACCGGATTGGTAAACAAGCAGTATGCTGCTTATATGAATACCGCTCCGGAATACAGATATATTATAGATAATAATCGTACGGAGAAAAACATGATATTAACAAACGATAAACAAACGAGAATCACGTAATGCTTGTGCACATTGTTTTATCGTCTCCGACGTTTTCACATGATTATATGAAGTGAAACACATCACCCATATGCATGTAACATGCATGGTCTGTCAACAACCAACCTGTTTATTATGAAGACACAGAATATTATGACTCTTAACTGTCGGGACATGATGAACGGTTTCGTAGACAGTAGGAAAAATATGGAGTTGTGAAATTCTTTGTGTTTCACCTCTTCCTGAACGCCTGGTGTCTTCACTATTTCAATAGGGTGGGTAGGATAGCTAAGTGTTCAGTGTTCACTGAAAACGACGGGTTAAGGTGACCAGATTGGTATGATGTGTTGAAGCAACTCCTAGTGTCCCCAAGCCCGATATTACATGAATACTGCTGAATGTTCTAAATCCTACTCACACTCAATTTATGTTGCCTTCGGATGCGTACAAGAGGTTCTGCTCATGGAAGAGATTTGTTAACGTGTTTCCTTATTTAGTATTGCTGATTGTGTCAGCATTTGTAATGACTATAAATACCGTAGTTAATGTGCACAAACAATTAACTCATGTTTTGTTAGTAACAAGATATCACATGCTCCTAAAAGAGGCTAAGGCTACGAATATTCATGAAGCACTATCTCCGTATTAAAATAGCATACTAACGTCCTTATAACCATGGCAACCACACTTGCGCCTTCATTATTCATTGCGCAGTCAATGGCGCAGTATCACATGTGTTTAATATAGGATAGTTGGGATGTAAAATCTTCAAACTGTTGCAATATCTTTAATTGGTGAAGATGAGAAATCAATATGTGTCATGCTTCTGCAAAATAGAAAGTTGATTGATTTAAACGTTTATCTAAATAATTCTTATCCAGTGGGTATACATCTTGATGTAGTTGAATCTTTATACGATCAACGTTTGGTGGTGTTCTGTTGTGCCCCCAAAAATCTTTTTGAAAAACCTTTTCCTTGACAACAAAGACATCGTAGGCGCAAGAGGGATTCACGTTGGTTCACTTTCTAGGATACTTACTGATCGTAATCCAAAATATATCAAAGTTGTTCAAATATTTCCTTAAAGATACAAACACTGATTTAAATGACCGAAGCCATTTATATACAGCAAAAGGCGCAAGTAAATTAATCCATTCACAACATTTTGAACGATATGAAAATAACCAACATACTTAATTAACGCGTGTTCTTTCTCAGCCATCACATATAAAAGCCTCAAGATCTGTTCGATGACTTTATGTGAAGAATTACATCGATTCCGGTCTGCACGACGCATGCGCCCATTTCTTGATTGAGAGACTGGATGGGCCAATTGACGGACAGTTTGTTCAATAAAACCAAAGTCCTGGTTACGATTTCAACCATTGCCTCAGCTTGTTGGACAGTTATAACATTTTGAAGAAAGAGGCGAAAAAATATGAAACCATATCAACAAATATAAAAGAACACGTATTGCTAGGATTTTCTGCCATACTGTTAGGGGCACTGGTCAAAACATCGGGTATGTAAACTTCATATTACTGTAATACAAGATTGTCAAAGAAAACCTTTAAGACTGACAGGTAATGCATTAGGCTTGTGATGAGTATGTATGAGTTAGCGGTGAATAATCAACTTGGAATGCACTAAAAGGGCGAATTTCCACAGAAGAATCTGTGACATTTAATACACAAAACAGCCGCGTAGAATATTCTTGTAACTGGCGAGTACTTGTATGTTTAAAAGGGCTGATTTCAAGTGATCAACGACGTGTAAAACTGTAGAGTTTGTGGCTAACGTTGACATGCACACAAATGTCTACAAGTGCAATTATACACCCGGCCTTCGGTTGAAACCATATATGACCGTTCAATTATTGTGCTTATAGTATCCAGTATTTCGTTTGTGACGGAAGCGAAGAATGTGTCTCTTTCTCACTTGATTAAACATATTATAAATGTTATATTTTATTCGAAAAAGAGGACTTGGACTTGTGTGAAAGCGTTAAAGCGTGTGAGTGTGTGTGAGAGGGCGAGAGAGAGTGTGTGTTAGGGGTGTGTGGGGGGTTGGGGGTTGGGGGAAGCTTGTTTGGTTGAGATTGACCCGAATAATCAGCCAACTGTACGTAACTTTTAAAATGCTTGATGATGGTGATGTTGATAATGCTGTTGATGACAATTGGAGCAGTGTAATTCATGTCCTGAACTTGAACGTGTGGTCTTACAAATGTTTTGAATATGACGAATTTAATAGGCTCATAGAAGATCATGATATCATAG